GTTTGCTATCTCATTTATTTTTATTGAAAATAATGTACTGGGGACAAATAGGACACGAGGAAAGACTGCCGAGGTTGGAGATTCTAGAATTTTCTTGTGTTTTCACTTTCATAGTGTTGTGAGGTGATTTTTATTCCGTTCCTTAACCAATTATCTATATATTTTTATTATTACATTTCATTTATTTAATATTATAAAACCGAAGGGTTTGTTTGTTTGTTTTAATGTGCTAATCTCCGGAATTACTGGTTCGTAATGAATAATTCTTTTTGTATTTTGGTATGTAGTCCATTTATCGAGGAAGGATTTAGGCTATAAACCACGTTACGATTCTTAGGAGCCGAGCAGAGAGTGAAACCGCGTGAGATTAGCTATCATGGTATACGTGGTCTAATGGTATCGCGACGAATGTACACAAACTTGCTTTTATCACCTGCCTAAAACGAATCTGCGGACGTAGAGCAAGGGTAGCTCGTCGCCTGACCGGAGCCAAAATCAAGGCATGCTTCAATGAGCCATTGGAACACCACAGATGGGCTTAATAAAGATGATGTTGAGCTGTTATTGCAGATGCAAGGCCAATAATGTACTGAGGCCCCGGCCCGAAGCAGGAGATGTAACGGGGTGGTTTTTAGCTAGTAAGAGTCTGACACTGCCTAGCGACCCGCCTAGGGCAGTAAAAAAACATTAGGCAATTTTCCCCCTCAAAAAAGTGCTGAAAGGGAATACCTTTATTTGCACCCTATTGGAGAGTTACGTTATATAAAAGGAAAGCCCTTTTGGGGATTAAAACACGATTTTTCTGCGTTCATTAACTTTCTACCTACCTAATATTCGAACAATCTTAAGAAACTTGGACTTATAATTTCTGATTATAAGTTTGCCAACCCGTATTGAACAAGCGTGGTGATTAATGCTCTAGCCTTATCCGTATGAGAAAAGGCCTTTGGTCAGCTGTGGGCACTTATAAGTTGATGATGATGATGATTATGATTCGAACAATCTGCGGGTAAATTTAAGGTAAAAACTAGGAGGTGTTTTATAATAATGCCTGCACGGTTGGCGCGGTGGCTGGCCGCCGTGCAACGTGTCGCGGATTCGATTCCCGCACAGAACAACTCTTTGTGTGATCCACAAATGGTTGTTCCGGGTCTGGGTGTGATGTGCATGTGGAATTGTATGTTTGTAAATGCACCCACGACACAGGAGAAAATCCTTATGTGGGGCAACGTGTTTTTATAAAAAAATAAAAAAAAAAACAAAAAAAAAATAATCTTCAATCCATCGTCAAAGCAAAGCTATACAGTGTGTTGTGATCTTGAAACTTTCAAGTTCATGAGAATGACGTTCTAATTTGCAATTTCCTTATTTCGTATTTACGTTATTTTAGACGCAGGAAATTCTCTGACCATTATAATAATTAATATAATTATTGTTATAGACATTGGCACGGTTCGTGTTTGGTTTATTTCCATTCAATTTAACGTAATTCGAACGCGAAATTCTGATACCAGCGTATTTATTTTAAGCTTCGTTCATCTATTTCCAGAGTCCATAGAAACGAAAATAATCGACAGTTGGTACATGGTCTTATATATTTACCCAGTAAATGGCATGAAAAAGTAATTTATCAACGTACAATGAATCTTAAACCTAAATCATAACTTACAAACAGAGCTCTAAACCCACGCATCGTGTATAAACACTTAATGACGTCACAAAACAGTATCCAACCTGACGTACGTCACATCTGAACTTAATTACGTTCGCACAAAGCGAGTGTCACAATCGTGAACTAAACGTGTTGTGAATTACTGTACTTGTCACTCTCACTTTAACTACATACTGTATATTATACATACATGTCTTTTATAATTGTAGCGATGTGCGTTTTTTTAGGGTTGTCTATGTTGAAAGTATGATTTTTTATGTGATAGGTCCGTAAACAAGCTGACGGTTTACCTGACGGTAATTAATCGGCACCAACAGACTATGAACACTAGCATATATAATAGCAGTTCATTTTCTTAACGATATAAGAAAAAATCGATACGAACGATATCAACAACACGCAATGGATAGAGATGGTCAATACTCGTGTCGCCTCTTTATACAAAAAGGCCCTAACAACACTTCTATCGACCCCCAACAAATTAACATGAAAAGCCACCCAATATTACCTTACCCATTATACTACATTCCCAAAATACCAAAATTAATGGACGCGCCAACCCTAATCAAAGAAACTCTGAATGACACTTACTTAGTAGTTCGCGGCTCCCTAGGGTTGTCAATAACACTTTTATTACGCTTTTGTATGTTCAGAAGGAAAGTCAAAGGTAATGGTGTGATGGGGTAGAGTTACCCTTTAAGTGGGTAGGCAGACACGGGTCGCACGAGGCTGGGTTTAAAGTTACTGTTTTAATTTAATTTGATTCTATGAATAAAAAATTTTTTCGAGCAGTTTCCTTATTTTACAAATCTCTATATTATTACTCCTGATATCAAAGACTTAATATATCATGATTTTTTGAATTAAGTTCGGTATTAAAATAAAAACAATGGACAGCAATTAAATTGGTACAATGTTTTCTTGTTAGCTAATAATAAAGATCATATTATAAATCGGCAATGAATTTAAGATCTGAATCAACTATTAGGAATTTTGCTTACAATAAACCGAATATTAATCCAAAATAGACACTGTGTTCCAAAAATTCATGCATTACCAAAAACTGACCTACTAATATTAACGAAGTAATTAAAGAATTTTCCAATAATCAGAAACCAGATCTAATCATCCATAATTATTATATTTTTGGACTTGGGCGCGTTTTTTCTTATTTCCTGGAAACGCGTACTTATTGCTCTTGTAATAAAGGTCATAGTGATAAAACCTAGACTAAATGGCTCAGTCTAGCAATAAATATGGGTTCGAAATGTTTGATCTGACGGGGCTAATACCATTTGTTATTTAGATAACGATAGCGCTCGCATTTTGTATCTTAGTTTGGGTGTTATGCGGACAAATTGAGAAGGTCAGCTAACATAGGTTGACTGGGACTAATAGTGATATTTTATAATATTTCGGTTAGGTTTGACCTCATGTCTAGTCATGGTAGTTAGGATTATATTCGTCGTATTTATTGCATTTGGAATAAATCTACTCAATGAAACTGATAATGGAATGTTGCCTACCACAAATTGCATGAATTAGGAGTATAATTATGATCTTTTACACTATTCTAGATAGCGATGAAATGGGTCGAGGATTCCATTATTTCTTCAGTACTTGTGACCCGCCCCGACTTCGCTAGGGTGATATGCTGATAATTTTCTTTACTATTTAATGGATATTATATATATATGTAAATATCACTCAATCTTTTAAATAGAGCGCATCATAATCTGTTGCGCAGTTTTAAAGATTTGAGCACCACCACATTGAGTACGCAGTGATATAATTAAATTTAAATGTTCATCAATCATTCCTATATGAATAATAATAGTAATACATTTCAAAACCACCACAATATAGTTTAACATAAAAAAATATGTATTTCTCTTCCCCTTTCAAACTAACTTGGCAGTCCAAAGAAACTTTCTATATAGTCAAAGTAGGTACTTAAGTACTTAAAGCAAAGATTTTCTCGAGGAAATTGTTGCAAAAGCCTTAAATTTTACCTTGAAATTAAAAAGAGAATCGCGGAAAGGTTCGACCTGAAACAAACTTCGAGAACTCACCATAAAGTATGTTTCTATAAGTAGGTCTTTTTAGAATAAAAAAGTATTTTTATCCTTAATTTTTAAGCGGAATAAGGTACCTCGGGTTAAAGCAGGAGAAGGAACGAATAGATAGGTTATTAGTCAGTAAGAGTCTGACACTGATTCTCGCCATATCTTAGGAGAGACAAGTCATTTGATGATTTATCTTCCACAAAAAAATCCTTCATTTTGGTTGCTAAGGTTACACAGAAAAACGGTAAAAATGCATGATGCATTATAAATACCGTTACGAACAGCATTACAAAATAACGTCTGTATTAATCGTATCAGTATTAAATCTAAAATAGGGGAATGGGGCAACCTCTGTGTCACCAGGTTCTTAAACCCAACCCCAGTTTAACTTGATAAAAGCGTTCTCTAATAACACAACAATCGCATTTTTAGGCATTATTTTATGATCATTACATAAAAGCATAAGCCAATCAATTGTTTAAATACTCACCATCAGATATTAAAAACAAATGAATCACAAAAAGTACAATCAACCAATTAAGCCCTCTAAAATAAAACCGAAAATTATGTCCACAGAAAAAAAAACCACGAAAAATATGTCTACAGAGAAAATACCGCCTGTATACATTCCCGTCCCTTCCTTCACCTTCACAACCGCATTTAGAGCGTATGAATATTTATGTTGTCAACTGTACTCGACCGAACCGATACTTTAACCCTCTATATACATTTATGCAAACCTTATGACTTCATTTAAATAAATTTCTTTTAGCGAACCACTTTCAGTAATAGCTCAACCTTTTTTGCGGGATATTGAAAAATATTGTTTATAATTTTTTGTGTATTGTCATAACACGAGAGGTATTGATAGTTTTCTGTGCCAGAAATTAATTATTTCGGCTCCTCGAAAAAATAAAAGAATGTGACAATAATCATTAATGTTTGACGTTAAAAAATTATGACGTCATATTTATGTTGCCATCTCAAAATAAAATTGAAAAGGATAAAAAATAAAGGAAGGTTTTGGCATTTTGTTAAAAGTACTGAATTTGACTAGTTGCAAACTAAAGTAATATTTGGGATTTATTAATGTTGTTCTATTTCATACTGCACTTGTTCATAGAAATGCATATTATATTATACTTGTTCTCCTTATTCTGGCATTGTTTTTGCTACTTGTACTTACCAAAAATATTCTTGTTTGTTATTTTTTTTTGACTGCTGATGACAAAAATGCTAATTGAATCTTTACTTTGTTGCAGGACACACGAACGCATGTGGTGGTGGAATTGTATGAGACTGAGAAGTCGTACGTGGAGGCATTGGAGATATTAGTCAAGGTAAGATAATGTAGAAATACATATTTACTTATATATTTAGTATACATACATAGTTCAATATATACCAAACATACATATACGTTTGGTGAATATTATAACGCATCTCGGTAATTAGGATACATTTTAATCTTACTTTTCCATCGTGGTAAGTCGAGACACAGTCGAGACACAATAGTAAGATAAATAGATGCACAAACGCCGGCGTTTGTTTGGGGTTTGATGAGTTAAAATACAATAAATCCACATAAACGGGGACTCTTTTCAATAGTTTTTGTCAACAGTTGTCACTCAAAGGTTCAAGACAAGTAAACGATTGACAAACAATAAATAAAATAAAAACACTCGAAAACGTAACGCTAGCGTACCGATTAATTCAGAAAGTCATAGAAAATTCTAGAACTTTCCAACAGAATATTTCCTCGACCACTTGAAAATAATGTTCTATACACTCGTAACAACTGCACAACTACAATCAAAGAGTATTGTATCTTGTTTTCCTGGATTTCTCCTTTCAAAGCCGTTACAAAGTTTATATTGAAGCTTGCACTCTTATATTCTTACTTTATCTAGGTCAGGAGAGGATAAAATATTGTAAAAGGATAGAAATTGTCTCGTTTCGAACATTATTCTTAAGTCTTCTTAAGAGTTTAGAGTTGAACCGATTCCTTTGCTTTTGTTGGACGTTACACTGTTGAACCGGTTTCGTTATTGCTTCAAAATCTTATTGGAAAGAAAAATCTATTTTTCAACCAACACGCTTTCTCATAAAATGGCTCTAATCCCACGGCAATTAGGCACATAACGATACCTGTAATCAAACTGTGACTTTTTCATTACTATTATTCACAAGTGAGTAATATTATAGAGTTCTTTTTTTAAATTATTGGTTGAGTTACACTTACACTTAGGCTAAATTAACGTTGTCCGCAAACAGAGCAAAAAAAAAAGAAAAATAATTTTTTAGTTTACTGCCGATGCGCGCGCATAGGAATACCTAATGAATATTTTTTTCCCGCCATTATGTAACATTTTTCACACTCGTCTCGTTTTCTCTTTTGAATTTTTTTAATTAAGTATTATTTTGTTCATAAGTGTGTGTTGAAAAACGTAGTATGATACATGCGTGTATTGATGATCACCGTCATCGGATCGTGCGGTATCACAAAAATTGCACACTTCTACAATAAGGTACTATTATTTAAATATCAAAATGTATCCTTACAAATCTAGGTTATTGCTTTTCTGAATAAATTATGAGACACGTATTTATTTAAATGACTTTTCTCATCAATTGACGCTTGTAATTTAACTATAGAAATAAAAATCCCCTCCAATATTGGAAAACTCAATTCATAAATTAAAAAAACAATCTGATGAGACATTTTGTAATACATTTTTATTTACTCTTTTCTTCATAATCCATGTTCTTTAAGTTCTTTAAAAAAATAAAACTCATAACATTATCTTTTCAATAATACACGATCTCTAAACTCTATACGGGATCCTTCAACCCCGCACCAAAAGACATCCTAATTCCCAACGCATTTTATTAACGTAAGACGGGGTGGCTATAGCTTTTGTGACATATTTTGTCAGTTACTTCTTGCTTATGGGACTAACATGACATCTGACAGCTGACAGGCTGACGTCTACGTTATCCTTGACGACATGAGATTGGTGGCTTGGAGACAAAGAAATCTGTGGTATTATTATTAATATTACATAATTTCAATTGTTTGTAAGTCTTTTATAATAATGTAGCAGGTAATATTATCGGGAGGTAAGTTATAATTATAAAGCAAGAAAAAGAGGAAAATTATTTATTGTGTGTTGGCTCTTGAAAGGCGCGCGCGTAACGCTACGTGCCATACGCTCGGGTGTGGTTCTGGTCGGGCGGCGAGCTACCCTTGCTTGACGTCAGTAGACTTGCGTTTATGGTGGCCGGATATCGTCATGCGATCTCCAAAGTTCGACTGCACGGTTGGTACGGTGGCTGGGCAACTGGCTGCCGTGCAACGAGTCGCGGGTTCGATTTCCGCACGGAACAACACTTTGTGTGATCCACAAATTGTTGTTTCGGGTCTGGGTGTCATGTGTATGTGACATTTTAGGTTTGTAAATGCACCCACAACATAGGAGAAGTTTCTAAAGAGGCGCAACGTTTTTTTAACAAAAAAAAAATAACAAAAAAAGTACTGTTTCGCAGAAAGGGGAAACTGTTTCCCAGTTCCTCTTGCTCCGCACCTTTGCATGCACTATTAAAGCAACATGATCTCTTGCCTATAACCTTTTTCTAGGAAGACGTAGGCAGAGACGCAACAAAAATTCTCGAATTTTTTTTATAAGTAGCATTTACTTAATAAGTGGTGATATTATCATAGATAACGACTACTAAGTGACTAACACCCGGTTTCCGAAAGGCCGATCAATGTTAAAATCAATTTAATCTCTTGTCAAGCCATCTGATTGGTTTACTGAATTATCAACAACAAATCAGATGACTTGACAAGAGATTTGACACCTAGTTAGTTGATTTTAACATTGATCGGGCTTTCGGAAACTGGGCATAAGAGAATTTTAGACGCAGTAAAATACCTATACGATCAATGTCGAACCAAAGTCCCTTATTTGATCATTTGGCCAACGAGTGAATTTTCAATTACTTACATCATAATCATCAAGTTTTTTCTGTCAAAGAGGTTCGTTAAATATAGCTCTCACAAAAAAAAATCTTCACCATCTAACAAGTTCTTTGATCCCTTGAACACTACGGTTAGTAAGTTACTATACAAAATTAATTATAGCTCGTAAAATTAATATTAAACTAAATAACTCAGGCAGTCTTATTAATCCAGCCGAAATGAACTGACGACTGACAAATTTGTGATATTTATGGATCTGACGAAGTTCCAGGGTTATCATCGTTGACTTCTCAGATCAATCTTAAATGTCTTTCTTTTGGTCCTCTTTGTCTGCAACTATTGAGCTGTCGAGAGGTCGTTAAATTTGAGAATTTCTGGTCCCTCCTTAACAGGGGTGGGTAATTGTGATGTCAATGTTGTGAATCATTTTTGACAGCGACATTTTTGTCAGGTGTTTTATCTGGAGATTTTATTAAAATGTTGCAATTAAGTGTTTTTTTGTTTGGGATTTTTCTTCTTTTCCTTTTGTATAAATACAAAGAAGTGAATGTCGTATGAAAATATTTTTAATATGTAATAATAGTAGTTAATGACTACAAGTAACTAATGCTTATATTTATATTATTATTACATGTAATGTAATAAAAATAAGTGTAAGTAACAGCTAAATGGGGTAAGAATTTACGGTTTTTTTTTATAAAAAAATTACATTGATATATTAATGTATGACACTTATTGCCTATTTATTTATTATAATGCAAAAACCATCCCAATTACAACAAGACTAATTACAAAACCTCAAAAAATAAATAAGAAACGACCCAAAACGCTTTCTGCAATTAAATGCGATCATGATTATCCCTACAAAATAATTAATTAATTATAATCCATGCTAAACGAATGTTATTACGTTAATACAAAAAGCGACATATTTTTCTTCCACCGGATTAAAATTGTAATATAAAATTGACCAACCCTACATCTACAGTGGTTTTCTTTCTCAAATTTTCCGCTCTACCTTTCCATCATATGGGTCGGGCTATTTATTGTCACCGTACCCCCCTCGCGTCATCCCCTCTCCCTGTGTCAGTGTATAGAGGAGACAGAACAGAAGATCAAACAATTTTTTCTGAACTTTTTTCGTCACTATGCCTTGTGAGTAATAGGTAATATGACTTAACTTGATTATTAGAATCGAGTTTTTTTTTATTTACTATCAAGAGACGGTTAAAGCATAGAGGTTTTTTATTAAAAAGTGGATTGTTATTAAACCTACTGCCTTTAAAGCAAATATCAAAATATATTTGAATCTGGTCATGTTTCGTAAGACAGTATAACCACATTCGTAAAATTTTCCGAATCGTAGATTTTAAATGCCAAATCTGTTCTAAATTCGTTTGGATTATTGCTCATTAAAATATTCACCAAAATTCCAACTTTAAACTTTAAGCCAGAAGATAAAATCTCGTATGGCATTGTAAGTGGTTCTTTTGTTCTTTCCCTTCTGACGTCTCAACCTTGTCAGAGTAAAGGACAGTTTTAACAGAGGGCCATAGAAATGTGTCGGGTACGTACTTTTAATTATTTTCTAGGCCAACTTCATGTCTGCCTGTGACGTTTGTACCAATGTTCGGTAGACTTTCTTTTGTTCTCAGGTTATCTTGTAGTATGCTTGTTAGGGATGGAGTTTCATTTTTGCTTATGAATTATTCATCGAGAATTTAAGTCTTTTTTACTTGTATTCGTAGGTATTTCAAATTATTACGTTCCGAATTAACATTACACTTAGAAATAAGATACTAACATATCTCTGTAAGGTTACATTTTAAGTATTTGTTGGTATCAATATCGGCTTTAAGAAGGAGAAAAAAGTGAATAAGATGCCTTCAAAAATAAATTAGATCTACATACTTACAATAATAATCCAATCATTTTTATAGCACGTATTTTCCTCCTAGACAGACGATCCAAATACCCACAATCCCTTCCTCCACAATCTCATATTTATTTCCCTCACCTTTATCTAATCTGAATTCTGCTCATTACCAAACTCAACCACAACTTCATATTCGCTTAACGAGATTTCCTCATAGATTCCGCTTAGCGCTTCGTAAGCAAATTCAACGTCTTCAAATAAATTTCCATCTTCAGCATTAAGAACTTCTGTTGCCATATCTTTGTACGTTTCTCTCGTTTTACCTCCTTTTACTTTGATTAGGGTTACCAAACTGTCGAAGTTCAACACCGAACATCAAAGTGATTCCACGTTTGGCGCAAAACTTCCCAACTCAGGATGATAAGAATTTTTGCCTATATTTTTATGGCACTCGGTTTCTGCGGTAGAAAAATGTTTATAGCCTTGTAGGGCATCGCCGTGGGGTTTTATTGCCGTTGTAAAATTCATAAAATATATATAAAAAAGGTATTGTGAGTTTTACTGGCGAAAGTTGTTGGTCGTTCTTGTTTTTATCTAATCGAGTCTCGTGCCACTTGGTGATTATGGCTTCCTTACGTTTCACCGAGTTCTTTTTTTGTATCGTCGCTGTCAACATAACTTTGATTGTGAATTTTTTAAATTATAAACACGCTGTTTTGATAATTTTGGGTCCGTTCTATGTAACACGCTAATTTATGACTTACTAGCTATTCCCTCGCGGTTTCACCCGCTGCTCGGCTTCATTTAAGCGTGATGTTTTTTAGCCTATAGCACTCAAGAATATTGAAGCAATCTATCAGTGAAAGAATTTTGGCAATCTGACCAGCGGTTCCAAAGATTACCCCCTACATACAAACTTACAAACATAGGTACAAACTTACAAATTTTACCTCTTTATAATATTAGTATAGATGAAATGAAAGAAGTCTGACATATGACATATGGCATACAAGACCTCTTTAGTTATATGACTCTTTTTGATACATGAAAACTGACTCTATCCTTTTCTAACTAGAAAAAATACGTATGAGCGATATGATAACAACCTTGTAGGTTTATTTTGTAAGAGTTGCCCATTATCACGCTCTTGTCGAAAGGGCTGTCCTCGAGTGCCCTCGTCAGACGGCTCCTGCCGTGAGTGGGTCCTCCAATTTGTAACTGTGTATAATTGTGTAAATGTCTACAGAAGGGAATATATTGTATATTTTAATTGTATATTCATTTTAATGTCCATAGGGTTTCACATAAAATATCTTAATAATATTATGAACCTTAGAATTTGTAAGTTTGGATAGTTTGACGTTAGAATCAATCTGAATTAAATTTAACATAGATATGGATTTCTAAAATAACAAATAGATTACTTTGTACCCTAATAAAAGTAGTTAGTTATTACATCTTCTTGTTCAAATACCAAACTAAAAAGATAATACATAGATTCTGTAACTTGCTTTCGATTTATCTTTGCCCTCAAGCTCTCCAAACAATGACGTATTTCATTAATATGTTGTATATTTTCCTCCTTGTACCTTGTTACTCTAATTGTACAAAGAGTGTAATTATCGTGGAATTCATGTTACAAAAAGAAACCCACATTTATAATGATTAGATAAGTACTTTGTGCATCCGCATTACAAATGCTTCTTCGCCAAGAAATCCATCTTAAGGTTGATAAAGGAAAGTAAAAACAGCGTCTTATATGTATAAAACCTTTCTTATAATATGTATGTAAAGGTCCTGTCAGTATTAGAGCTGCTAATCATTGAAAATAAAATGAAATAATACAAACAGTTTTATACGGCAGTAAAGTGTTACTTTACTAAAATTTCTGATATTTTAAATTTATATTTTACTCTCTCGCGCCGTTTCACCGACTGCTCTGCTCCTACAATCGTAGCGTGATCTTTAATACCCTATAGCCTTCGTCGATAAGTGGACTAACAAATGAAAAATAATTGTTCAATTTGAGATTAGCGCGTACAAAGAAACAAACTCTCCAGATTTATATTATTAATTAATATATATAATATATAATATATGGCCTGGCCCACCATTTTACATAGAAAAAGGCGTAAAACAGGGCGATCCACTCTCTCCTAATCTGTTTACCTGTACACTGGAGGAAGTGTTCAGGAAACTAACTTTGTCGTGGACATCTAAAGGCATCGTCATCGGTAGTAAAAGACTGACCAACTTGCGGTTTGCTGACGACATCGTTCTTTTCGCGTCTACATCAGCAGAGCTCCAACAAATGCTCCAAGATCTGAGCAGGGCAAGCCTGGAGGTTGGGCTTCAAATGAACATGAGCAAGACACAAGCTATGACCAACAGCACGAAACATAGGATCGAGGTAGATGGGCAAGCTCTACACTATGTCGAAGAGTACATCTACTTGGGCCAGTTAGTTTCTTTCGATAACAGGCAGGAGAAGGAAATAGATCGCCGTATCGAGAACGCCTGGAAAAGCTACTGGTCCATAAAGCAATATATGAAAGGGGACCTTCCCCTTTCACTCAAGCGAAAATAAGTCGACATGTGTATTTTGCCTGTCCTAACCTACGGTGTGCAAACCTGGTCTCTCACCGAGTGTCAGAAGTCCAGGCTCCGGGTTTGCCAAAGGGCAATGGAACGTAGCCTGTTGGGCATAAAACGGACCGATCGCATACGGAATACCGTGATACGTTCCAAAACAGGAGTCGCTGATGTGGGCCAAAAGGCGGCAAAATTAAAATGGGACTGGGCCGGACACGTCAGCCGAATCCACCCAGAGAGATGGGCCACTATTGTCACCCAGTGGACACCTCAGGATGGAAGCCGCAGGCGAGGTAGGCCCCGGAAAAGATGGCGTGACGATCTAGACGCCTATCGTCGAGACTGGTGGACACGGTCGAAGGATCGGGAGGTGTGGAAGCGAGATGGGGAGGCCTTTGCCCAGCAGTGGGACAATATAGGCTAGTAAAAAAAATAAATAAATATAATATTAGTATAGATTTAAGACCTCAATTCAACATTTCAATTTCCAGACAGTTATTATCACCACATATAATTATTGCTCCTTTAACAAAGTATTTTCTCCAACAGAAATATCTTCAACCACTTAAGAGTCCGGAGAACGCTGGTCTTCTCGACGCATTCCTAGTGGACGAGATCTTCTACCAAGTGCCGGGGATCCTAAACGTGCACCAGGTCTTTTTGGAACAGCTGAGGCGAAGACTTGAACAATGGGATCTACAGCAGAAAGTTGGAGACGTGTTCTTGGATGTGGTAAGTTCCAGATTATACGAAAACAGATCAGAATCTAACTTTTTAAGTTTAAACTAGATTGCTTCGAGAGACTTTCAAACTTCCTTTTCTGCTGCGGGAGGGGAGAGAGGAGGTAGCCTCTCCCTTCCCCTTTCCGCCGCCTCCTTGGTGAGCATCACGGCCTCGCAAAAGGTAGCGATGGCACTCCACCCTGACTCGCTCCCGGCCATAGTAGACACTTCAGCTGGAAGCGAGAACTTTCCCGCAGCGCCTACGGCCGCGACCAAGTCACGGCACTTTTCAGGCCAAACTGGGCGCGAGGTCTTCACTCCGGTCGAGTCGGTCCATTGCTCTCTGATACTCCATAGATATCATCCCGGTGGAGCCATGACTTTCCAACATTAAATTTCTCTAGTTATTCCAAAAGTAGTGAATTGCAAACATGTATTATAATAGATTTATTTCTGGTATAAATATTTCAAGTACAAACAACAAAATATACATTTTATGCATCACAAAATAAACTCAAGTAACATTTTCCACCAATAATTTTCCAACACACATTACGATCAAATTCGCCCAATACTTTTTTGTTAAAACCATACGTTTACCTGCTATATTCGTTCCGCATGAGGAATCACTTTATATGCAGCGTCAGAATCACGCTGGCGTTCGATAGTGATTGATGGAGATGGAACGAAAGCATTCAGCTGATAGTATTTACTTAAGGGAATTGAGAAATTACATTAGGTACCCCAGGTAATATTAGCACGTCGTATGAGTAATAGGTTGTTTGTAAATATTATTTTTATGGTCGCTAGAACTAATTATTTAAAAAACGGTAAGTTTGAATATAAAAAGAATTTGTATAAAATATCTGCCACACCCGCAAACATAGCAAATGACAAGAAAGGCGTTAGATTGTCTCTAACTGTTTCTTTAGATATGGTGATACATAAAGGTATTGAGAAAGGCTATAAGTATAATTTACTTTTTTTATATTCCTTAAAAAGGTTACACGTGTCTCCTATGTATGATGTAAAGATAACGACACTGTAACCTTACTCCAATAATACCTTTGTAAAATTTTTAAGATGTACTGTAATCCTAATATGATCTGAACACCACCCATAATCGTAAGCACTAGTGAGTTTTTTAGATGATTAAATAACCTGTAGTTCTCTCCTGTCCTCGAGGAGGCGAAAGCTAGTACCTGACTCTTACTGACTAAAAACCATTTTATTCCTTCTCCGAGCTGTGCTGCGGTATATGCACTTGCGACCAATGTACTTACTAACCTGATTGGGCTTAAGAAGATAGAATTACGGAGCGGATGTGAGAATATTATATATCACAGGCTATATAACTAAAGCTTAGCTGTTACAGAGAAAGTAATGATTACATAGGCATTGCGTATATTTGTATACCGGACCATATAGATACTGAGACTGCTTTGTAGATGTAATGGAGAAAAGCATTATACAAGTATTTAATCACGAGGTTTTAAACCTTAACCTCGATTGATTGGTTCGATTTGACAATCGAGATGATTGAAATTGTAAGCAGTTTTTTGTTAAATAAAGGAGCATATATAAGAATATATAAATGCATAGAATAGGATAAAGGTAGTGGCGTAGGGACTAAAATACAAAAATTGGTCGTGTAACTCTTTTGTTGTCTATAATCTCTTAAAAGCAACAAAAGAGACTGTCTTTGAATAACTAACAGTGTTTAATAAAATCATTCCTAATACTGATGCATATAAGAACATCACCAGCCTACTCGTATAAGTGGCCACTACTAAGCAAACACCTCAAGTGAACTTGAGCATTAATCACTACGCTTGCTCAAGGTAGATTGCTGGCGATTTCAAAATTATAACGTTTTCTCACAATGTTTTCCTTCGACGTTTGTCAGTAGTGTCGAAATAAACTTAGATAGTATAACTAGAAAAAAATCACATCAGCACTTGCCAGATTCGGATGTGAAACCTAATGCACGAAAATCGGGTGCCTGAACCTCCGGATCACCACGACGTACCTACGTACATACTATGATCCAATACAGCAGATTAAATAGAATAATTGTTGCAGTTCACAAAACCAACGGTAATGGACACCTACATGACCTTCATCAACAATCTGAAGAAGGCCAAAGAAACAATAAAGACAGCAGCATCGTCACGACCGGCCTTTGCCAAGTTCCTGGATGCTATGGCCAGGGACCATAAAGGAAAGCTGTCCTTGGATAATTTGCTCATAAAACCTGTGCAGAAGTTCCCAAGCTATAAGCTGTTGATACAGAGGCTGATTAAGCATACAGGTTTGTGAATTATGTAGTTATAGTTATATTGTTTAGGATAGTCGATCTCGAGGACGATGCATAGTCTATGCATAGGTTGATCTGAGTGCTAAAATGCTGTTCTCAGTGTAACCTACATTATAATTATTGATACTTGCATAGTAGTAAAAGTATATACAATAATAGAAATCCTTACGATAAATCTAGCATATTAAACTATAAATGCTATATGAGTTTTTGTAGTATATTTTCACTATTATACCAATATCAGTATTGACTAGCATTATTTTTTAATTTATTTTTTATCATTCAAAAGCAAATACATTATTATAAATAAAATCTAAATTGGGGATTTCAATAACAAAATTTCTTCAATATCTGTTAAGAGAAGGCTTTTCCGTAAGCTCTCTCCTCGAATAACAAAAGCCTCGACAGTGTCAAGTAATTTGTTCCTCGTTATTGATGGCACTCTCCCCTGGAGACGCTTTGAAACAATGTTTTATACAAAAGGCAGGTGCAAAATTAATTTCCTCTAAGTACAAGATTTAGTTGTATTATGAAACTTGGTATAAATTCATTTTCATTTTTGTCAAAGTATCTTTAAGTCTTCTATTCTAAAATTAAAGTGATTTTAGTTTTATCTACGTCATTCCAATTATGATAAAGAACAGTTTTCATTTTTGGAACAATAATTACTCCTAGACGCCATAAATTGTCTCTAACTAATTTACTTATACATATAACAATTTTCTTCTAGATCAGTCGCACCCAGACCACAAACTTCTGCTAGAGGCTCAAAAAGAGATCCACGATCTTCTAGAACTGATCAATTGTACTGAGAGGGAGAGCTTGGAGTTGGAACAGCAGCAACAAACGCTAAGGGAACTGGAGCAGATGATTGAAGGGCTTTCCAACTTAGTGTCCATGGATCGGATGTTCTTAAGACATGAGATGGTCACCATGCCATCAGCTCAAGGCACGATCAAGGATAGAGCACTGTTTCTATTCAATGATACTCTGCTGATAACAAGTGTTAAAAGGAGGACAGGAACGATTAAGAAGCCTACACCGTAAGTTGATTTTTCTTTATAAAAAGTTCCCAGTTCTATGTATTTAGTTTCAAATCTCTTAAAAGGTCCAAACTTTAATTGAAAGAACTGTTCAACTATGTCATTCTGTATCAAGACAAAAATTGCTTGTTTACAATATTTTGCTCTGGGCAACTGCATTTTGGGTGTTTGCAATCGTTATGAATTACAGTTGATTTAAATAAGAATGTAGTTTTAGTCTTAACTGTTTATGAAGCTAAGTTTTTATTAAGTAAGCTTTTATTAACATTAACCGCCATATTCAGGGTCAAGCAACTTGTTTCGGAACAAAATCGTAATAAAAATAAAGTTAAGGAATAGTTCTATCATTTACCGTACCGAGTTCCATAGTAAGTCTGCTTAAGGCTTAGTCTTAATACAGATGTATTCACAAAAGGCCCTGAATTACGAATACGGAAATCGAAATCATATTTCTTTGTATTATACTCGCTTAAATTTGACCTTATTTATGAACATAAATTAAACTGTTGTACATAAACTGGGATTCTATTAGCACAAATCCCAAATAAATTAGCAGATACCAAATTAAATTGATGTGAAACAAAGCAAGATTGAGTTATTTGTTTGTTTTACAGAACGTACCAAAGTAATATAGCAAGTCAGATGGAAGGAAACAAGTACAAACTGCTAATGAGGATATCGCTGGCCGATCTCGAGATTGTTAAAGGTAATCTATGTTAAGAATTTAATTTTAAAGAAACTGAATGTGATGTAGTAGATGACAATGAACAACAAATTTTAATCTAACTTAAAAGGATATTGACTGATTATAGAAGTCGAAGTTTTTTGACGACATGGCTTAACGGACATGACACAAAAACAGCTTCCAGTTTAAAAAAAAGTTATCCCACACTAGGATTTTCTCCTGTACGACACAGGAGAAAATCCTAGGGTGCATTCACAAACATAGAATTTCACATACACACCATGTCTTGCATAACCAGACTTGGCACAAAATTTGTGGATTACAAAGAGTTGTTTCGTCGCGACGCGTTGCGCGGCAGCCAGTTGCCTAGCCATCGGGCCAAACGTGCAGGCAAAAATTCTTTTGAGGTATTGTTAAAAAGTAAAAGAAAAGACAAATTTGTTGTTGTTGTACAACTAATCCTCTAGTTTGGAGACTAGTTTATATTATATGGCATAATTTGTGACTTAAGCGAAAGAAAAATAATGTTCAAAAACAATAAATAAAATCTAGTCAAACGCAAAACTACACAAGAACAAAAAACCGAATAAAAATACATTTTGAAAATCAAAGCAAACAAAAATCAAACCACAAAGCCGTCACAAAAAGAATATTGACGAACAAAACATAAAAGCAACATTTACAAAGGCTATTGACAAAAATATTTTATAGAAAATTATTGAAGCAGCTATTGAAAGGTCAGTTTCCATCTTGGGAATAAATAAACGGAAAGCGAGGAAATTGTAGTGATTACTTTGTAACAGCGGGAAGTAGGTCAAATTGTAAGTGGTAAAATATTGATTCAGTATCAATAATAAAGTTTCCACAGCACTGAATGTCCCTCAAGCATCGTGAATTAAGTTCTAGGTAAGTTATGAAGTTGTGTGCTGCAATCAGGGGTTGTGAGGCGATAACAACATTACGTTTTAGCTAAACTATAACTTAACTTTATATTAAGTGTGTTATCGAATTAGTTTTCAACTAGTATGCTCATTATTTCTTCTATTAACAGTGTTATATGTGCTTTATTGCACACATACACATATCAAAAATAAGTTAGACACAATAAAATATTGTTAAGATTACAATGGGTGGTCTTGTCGCATCTTCCAGATAATCTTTGGATTGATATGTTTATAAGAAACTTGGGCTTGGGTAGTGAAGTTTTATCGGATTTGTAGACTATGTAGTTTTTAAACTTGGACGATACACTGTCAAAAATGTTTAAGACTGTTCATACATTGTAATTATTTCATTGTAATAATAGAAAAATAAATTAAAGAGAGTTTGTAAACCATTCACTACAACATCCGTACGTTAATTTTTAAAGCTATAAAACCCTATAATGATGCCGGATGTCCTGTTTTACATTGACCGTCGGTATGAATTCGCCTGAAAATATCGAGATTTTGGAGCAAGAAAATCGTATAACCATTGATTAAAAATTGCTGCGCATTGGCTGCCCAACCGGCTCCCGTTCAACGTGTGACGGTTTCGATTCGGACACATTAGAAAAATCCAGTGTAGGGACAACGTTTCTTTCTATAAAATGTATTATGGTATTGCGCAAGTTGTTTGGTCGTTAGGTCAACTATACACATGTTACGTAAAATTAATTGAAGTTACAAAATTGTAGAAAAACCTTTATAATGAATACCCATTACAAACAATCACTGCTCTCGATTAGTTTCACTCACTGCTCGACTCGTGTTAGTCGTAGCAGGCTCCTTTTTAGCTTACCTTCTTCGATAACTAGTAGTTCCTAAGATTAACGCGTTCAAACAAACAAACTCTTCGGCTTTATACAAGTTATTAACGACGAAACTAGTACAACATCACTCAATATGCAAGATGGATACCATATCAATCTTACTTCACCAAGACTTACCAAAACAACAATAATTATTAACTAATCAATCAATTTCTTTCCAACAGCCAAGGACGAAAATCTAAGGCGGATTATGCATGAAGTGGAAACGCTTACAGAGGACGTGAACACACTGACTCAGATATCGGAGAATGTAGCAGCATTACACACACAGCACGTGCAGCTGGAGGAGATTGTAAGGGAGATGCTGCATTCGCTGAACAGGCAGCTGTCTGAACGACAGAACAGTGACACCCAGCTGTGTTATATGGAAATCAGCTTGAATACTTCGTGAGTATAAAATATTATTTGTCTTTTTGAAAATTCTTGACGTGATCTTGTCTTGTTTGGAAAATTATTTTAATATAACACAGATGGACATAGATAAAACGCCAGTTGGGAGCTTAATATATTTCCACAATTCATTAGAATTTTGAATAATCCCGTTGCAAGTAAAGTAAAAGAGACAATGTGACTTTTGTACGTTGGTGAAATCTCTTCCTTCTGCAATGAAACAGACTAATGGTTCTTATCATTAACTACGTTTGTTTTCAGAAATGGTCCCGAGAACATCACAATCATTTATCCAAAAGCAGAGAAAAGGAGCAACTGGGAGGAATTGATAAATGAGACTAAACAGAAATTATGTAAGTTTGTCCAGAAACCATTTTAGCAAGTGGAATTAAACAGCTGAACTTCTTTTGAATTGTAGTATTGTGAGAAATGCAAAACTTTTTGAAAACAACCATTTACTCACTTGATTTAACTGAGACGATCTCTGCCAGTTTCAAGTCACAATGGAAGTCTTATTCATGAACAGCGTGCACGTCGCGCCGATGTCGCGCAGCTAGCTCTAGTAGAGTAAATAGTTTTTTCACAGTTGATGCATGAGAGTAAATAGTTATTTTCAATAGCTTAACTTCTTTGTCTTACTTAATGAAGACTAAATTAAGACTCCTAGAACAATACCAGTAGATCAAAGCTTAAATAATAGGGCAATGTATAAGTTATCGAATCATCAGTCAGCATCTCCGTCATTTTTATTAGTTCGTTCGAAAAGCATTCAGATGCCAATAATAAAAACACATTTCTTGTTGAAATTGGACAATAAAATATTCATGTTTCCAGGCGTCTACGGTCAAGAACGCCCGGCCCCAGAATTTCTATCGCCAGTTCCAATTCGCAAGACTCGGGCTGGCCTGCAGTTCACATGCGCCGCTCCCACCCTTCCTCCTAAGGGACAGTCACCTGATGTTTGGGTAAGAATCTTGGCAATTTTTTAATGACCTTTAACCTGATTTACTACACAATAGTATCACTAGCTATTTAGAAGGTCATTAAAGGAGTTTTAAGATCAACAGACACCGTATGGTGGCTGATAGTTATGATGAAAAAATAACTAAGTACATACTTTATTTAGGAAATAATGTTATAGTACCTACGGTACATTATATGAAGTATGGTTTAAATCGCCGATTTTACAACACAAAGAATCCTATGATGATCAAATCATGATGATTAAATTCAGTCAATAAAGATCTTTATATGCATTTTCCAGGTATGCAACAGTGATGGCTACGTAGGTCAAGTTTGCGTGCTGACTCTGTCACCTAAGCCGCAGGTGACGTCATGCAATGGTGTCTGTAACGCGCGCATCCTGTGCGTTGCTTGCGTCCCACCTGCGCCTGCGCTTACTCGGCAGCAGACTGTGGATATACCGTGAGTTAGAAATTTTTATTGTAATATTTTCAGGTCACGTGACCTAAAGTTTTCTTTTTGCAATGCGAGTAAAGACTCTATCTCGACAGATGGCATAGGATAGGCACTTGGCTACTGTTTTGCCTAGTGATAAGCGATGATGCTGCCTATCGAAATGAGCTTCAAATTTCTTTTTTTTTTTTCTTTTTTTTTTTATTTATAAAAAAAAACGTTGCCCCACATTAGGATTTTCTCCTGTGTCGTGGGTGCGATTACAAACATACAATTTCACATGCACATCACACCCAGACCCGGAACAACAATCTGTGGATCACACAAAGAGTTGTTCCGTGCGGGAATCGAACCCGCGACCCGTTGCGCAGCAGCCAGTTGCCCAGCCACCGCGCCAAACGAAAATACTTCGTGTAAAACTTCTCCAAAATTATTTTATGAAAGTGCAATGCAGTCTTACTTTCATTTTTATTTTCACTTTCTATGTAAAAAGTATGGGTAAGCCTTCTTTTCTCAGACTCTTTGGCTAACCAGTAACCTTTTTAACTAGAACATTAACTGGCATTGTATTTAACCGTGTGTTCTATTATGTTTCAGAAGCACGAGCTCACTGAACAGCTCCAGTTCAGTCAAGCCTGGTATCAGCATATCCGATCCTGATGACAGCTGCAAGAACATTCGACTGGACAGGTACGCCATATTATTGTAAAGTATTATAGCAGAAGAAGGAACGAGGTAGTTTTCAGTCAGTAAGAGTCTCACTTATCCTAGGTGAGAAAAGGCATTTGATGATTTCTTCACACTCAAAAACGTAGCATGGTCTATAAAAATTTTTCTTCTGTCATACATAACTGTATGTTGGTATCTATCAACAAAGCGGACACCTAATGTACCAGAAACGTCAGAGGCAACACAGAAGTATAAATCTACCAATAAAGTAATTTCTTTTATTTTCGACTCACAATCTTTATGCCTTTTGAACCAGCCTAACAAAACGTTTCAGAAACGAAAGAAACTCAAACATTACCTAGCTTCTGATAGTTCATCATTCAATAATCCCTTGACAACAAATGGACTGAAGACACGGTAGGAAATCGCCAGCTTAATGGCGTGTCATTCGCACGACAAATATTTGTTTGCCCTCCAAATATTTGCTGCAAGTCTTTATGTTTGCCCACCATCGCGATTTGTTTGGACAACGGCATCCATGTAGCGATATTTGGAACTATTCGGTCATAAAAGCGTTGGTTTGTCCTTGATACAGTATAAAGGTACATTAGATTGTTTACTTTATAAGTTATTGGCTTTATAGATATGGTACTGGTCTGTTAGGAGTGGTCAAATTCTAATAATATTTGAGACTTAAATAATATTGTTTGTGAGTTTTCGATAAAAGGGAAAGCATCACCAGGATTCAGGATAAATTATAAGGTACTTCAGGTCATCTAAATGAGCTTGTTAACAAAATGTACGAAATAAGTAACACAATACAGAAACCTGAATTAAGGAGAGAAATAATGAGTTCTAAAGACTGTAATTTAGTAAAACTGCGAGCGGTTCATACATAAGAAAAGCGAACCCATTAACAAATTCTTCTTCTTTCACTATCCACAGCTCATCTTCCAGTGATGAAGAAGACGATGGCTCCTCAACCAGCGAGAACCAAGATGCCCAATCAGAACGGAGCCAGGAATCTGCAACCATTCGTTTGCACAGCAGCCTGACAGCCAGCCTGGGTAACCATCGCGCCACATTGACTCCAAACCACAGCAAGAGCTTGAGCACCCCTCACACTGGACAGAGCATCCAAGTCCATCCTGTCATGAAGTCCAGCTCCAACCCAGCTGTAGACAAACAAGCTATGGGGATTAACTCTGGTAAGCAATATTGAACTTTAAATTCTAATAATCTGTTTAGAATCTAAATATCTTTGCAATCAATGTTTTCTTTTGATATCCAGTTTATGATTCAATGTGGCTGTAGTCAGTCTTCTTGTTGAGTAGACTAATATTAACTGTATTTCATATTAACTTTATTTCTTGTTGAGTAGACTACTGTATTCTTGATCACCGTTCTAATTGTTTTAGAATTCACTGTTAACCTGAGAAGTGTAGATTTGAGGATTTCTTTTCATTGTAAATTTTGTGTTTATCGAGCTAATCGTTTTTACCTTTCCCTTTATCTCTTATCTCAATAATACCACAAGTATTAACTGTTGGTAGTTCTCTATGTACACATTCTATGTATTCTGGTTTTACTTTAATGTATTTACATTCAATGTTTCCTATTTCTATGCTACTTAGTAACTGGACGTGCCATGTTGGGTAATACTGAAAATCGTTGTATTTATTTCTGCATGGTGTGAAGTGGTTTTCTATCTTTGCTTTAATTGTGCCTTTAAAACAATTACTCAATGCTTACAATATAATAATCAAATTGCTTTATAAATGAAAGAAAAAGGACAAAAAACATATTAAACATAATACCAGGTAAGTATACACAATCTTGAAAAACATTGAACACCTTACACAAAATAAAAACATTTCTGTCATAACTGCTTGCTTCACCAACAAATCAGCTTTTTTACATAAAAACACCCACAAAGAAAGCACGCTCAATCCAAATATCAAAGTAATAGATGGAGCAAATTCTTAAACTGATGTTATACATATTCCAGGTACACTCTCCTCTCCAGCCAGTCGCCAGTCTTCAGAAGACAGTGGCACTACTGCCAATCAGCCTACGATGTGGCTCGGTACAGAGGATGGTTGTATACACGTATACAACTGTTTGGACAACATTAGGATAAAGAAAAATAAAGTGAAGCTGCAGCACAATTCGGGGGTTCATTCCATTGTGTAAGTATTTTAAAATGTTAGAGTATTCGACACTCACAACTAAGGCCTTAGGCCGAAACCCCAATAGTGGAAGCGGGAAGAACAAGTCGTTTAAACTCTGCAGTCTTCTTTGATGAAAAAGACTTATATTTCAAGTAGGTTGAAAACTGGTCGCTTACAATCAGCCGATTTGGAAGTGCCATATGATTAGCAATTCCTTAAAATCCCCAAAATTCCGGCAACGCACCAACTCATCTAATGTTTTGTCTACCGCCTTGTATTCTTAAAAAATCAGTGCCCGACTTGTTCATGACAAAATAAGGGTGATGTTATAACAATATAAGTTTCAATATCCGAAACAGAAAAATTTGCTTAATCTGTGTATGAATAGGAATTCCATCTTAAGGACTACGTTTCATTCTGGCTGTAAATCGTAAAATATAATATGATTTCCATTGCAGATCATTTAAAAAATATTTGTGTTTATTTCAGTTACGTGGAGGGAAAAGTATTTGTTGCACTTGGCAACGGCGATCTAGTCGTATACTGCCGGGATATTGGTGAGTACTCATAAATATTCCAATACAATAAGAAAGGTTGCCAAAAATAACAAACGAGTTAATTTTTCACTAAATGTTTATGCTACTTTCCTCACCGGTTAGACTTCGATTCTGATGAGTAACATATTCTACCTTTCGATCCATTATAGAACCAAATAAGTTCACTCTTAATGGACATTTTCTAAGAAGAGGGTTCCCCAAAAGCTATTCACTTTGTTTACTTTGTTCAACTACACCTCAACGAGAAACTGAGCTGCTGCTTTTTGCAATATTTATTTAGAGTTAAATATTTCCATTTCATTCATGTCTTGCATTGTTAATAATGATCACGGTTCTTAACCACCAGATGGTTCGTGGACGGAGCGGTCAACGATTCCGGTGGGCACGGGCAGCAGCCCCGTAAGCAGCATGCTGCTGTCCAGCGGCAAGCTGTGGTGCGCCACGCATGCCTCCATCAAGATCATCAACCCGCATACACTGCAGGTAACTAAGTAATACGTACAAGTCTTTTAGAAACTGGCAAAAGTGAATTTCTCTAGTTTTTCTTTTTACAAACGTTATCCCACGCTAAGTTTTTCTCCTGTCTTGTCTTTTAAAGACATACACATCACACCTAGACCCGCAACAACTATTTGTGGATCACACGAATTGTTATTTCATGCGGGAATCCAAGCCGGAACACTTTGCACAGCAATGGTCCAGCTTCTGCGCCAACCGTTCGGTGTCAGTCAACTATCTGTTCATAATTTTTCTTTTTTGGATTACACTCGTTTTGTCCTTAAAAATATGTGTTTTCAATCGTCGGTTCATCATCCAAGTTAAGTTAATCTTTTCTTCACAGAGATAAGTGATGTTCTGTTAAAAATCCCCTAAAAGCTTACAATGACCTTATAATTCCCTCTGTTATCCAGGTGGACGAAACATTCCAAATAAGTTCAGAGACGAAGCCGATCAGCCACATGGCGGTGGCAGGTGGCACGATATGGCTGTCACTGCACAATGCTGCCCAGCTCCGCTGCTACAACTCCAGCAGTCGCGAGCAATTGGCTGAGATCAATATAACGCCACAAGTTACTAAGATGTTGCATGGTAAGCTTAATCTACTTTATCATTATCATTTAGCTATCCGAAATACAAATAATTGAGTGTTTAAAATGTTCGAAAAAAGTTGAGTCTGTTTTCTTTCAAGTATACTATTTAAATTAATAATAAACACTAAAATACTTTGCAAATTCGAAGAAGATGTTAATATTAGTCTTTGTACTAAGTATACTTTACTTTGATTCTCAGGATGCGATGACATAATTCGTCAGCACAAAGCGGCGTGTCTCCGTGTGACAGCCCTACTCGCTCACCGTGATACACTCTGGGTGGGAACTAGTGCGGGTGTGCTACTCACGGCTCCTCTACACAACTCACCCAACCCTAGGACTGGAGCTTTCACTGTTCCTCATTTGACTGGTAAGCATCATTAAGAGAAACCAAGTAAAGATATCGTCGAATATTATATGTAATATGGCATTAATGATGTATAATTTATTAACATAAAAAACGGCAATCCGAATTGTCGACAGAAATATGAAAAATTAGGAATATATTGATGAAATTATTAATATTTGATAGCATAGTTCAGGTTTCTAATGAAAATCCATATGTTATAGGTATCACCTATGGGCATACTGGCCACGTGAGGTTCCTAACGATCGTAGAGAACCCCGCCGCTCAAAAGCAGCCAGCGAAACAGACACAGACTTCATTGAAGACAAAGGCACTAAGTCGCAGGTCGACAAATGCCGAGAAACTACAGAAACAAGCGGAACCAGCTCAGAGTAATAAGGAAACCCTCATCATATCTGGTGGAGACGGTTACGAAGACTTTAGGAGTTCCACCATGACAGAAGACGCAGGCAGAGAAGATTCGACTAATCATCTCCTACTGTGGAGGGTCTGAACGAATTTTGCGGCCTACAGGGTTCTAGAACTTTCTGGCGCACACTGCGCCCTGGATTTTGAGAATTGACGTTTTGAATATTCTTCGTACATTTCACACGTCAGTGAAAGCCTAAAGGTTTTTATTTTTTAAATGTTTTCGTCAATGAATGTTAGTGTTATTCCAGCTTTCATTTGGAAACGTTGATGTATGTTAAAAGTATAATAAATCTTTTTGTGTTTTGCGCTTGTGAGCGTGATATGAGATTATTAACGTTAGGACATGAAATGTCGAATTTTATCAATTTGCCCCAAATGTATCAAAATTATTTAAACGTGCAGTATTATTAAATAAATTGGACCATCTGTGTAATGGCCTGTTGCGTACCTTAAAGACGTTTCTATCAGTGTTTTAGAACTATTTACATGTATCCAACCCATATCAAGACATAGTATGTGTCTTTATAATATTATCGTTGTCTGAGTAGTAGTGAACAGTTACAACTGTTGTAGGCTATTGAAATAATGATATATTTGTGTACCTAAGAGATGTTAGGTCTTCTAAATTGTTCATTACTTTCATCGTCATAGCTTTCAGATTTTTCGTTACTCGTGCTTACTAGCTCAATTTGATTTTCACTAGACTTTAATCTACTAGAGTTCTTGGCTTGATATATTAATATACATACTCATGTGCAAGAAGATTTTCGATGTTGATGTCTAAAATTAATTAAAAATCTAGACTGATCTCTTCGTCTATTTAGGTGTAATCTTTAGAACTATCTTTTAGATCGAATCTTTCTAATTCATGTTTCACAGATTCTTCTAGAAAGTTGAGAAAGTAATCAAGGGTAACATCAGGAATGTGTTTCGGAAACCAAAATCAGTCTGTAATTTATATTTTCTCGTTTAGAGTAGTAGTAGGTATACATAAAACTGTTATATTCCGAATGTACCTTGCCACGTCATCAAATCTGGTCAAAAAAGAATTATAATTTCATGATTGCTCAAAAAAGTTTTGAACTGTTACCTGATTTGACATATTATGCGAGCAACAAATTTTTAAAATAGGATGTTTGGATGATGTATCCTATATTTATAATATTGCAGAATAATAAAAAAGTCGCACTAACATGACTGTGTTTTATTTTATTATGATTTGTTACTACTGACAATTTATTATCACCATTAAAAATATCAAGGCCCATCATGAAATGTTACATAGTTTTTCCAAATATTATTCTGAACAAAAATATAATGTAATGAGGTTAAAATTTATAGCAGATCTTTTGAAGTTTTTTTATTTAGTTTTAAGGAATGTTTGGAAGTAAAAAGGCAAATGAATGAAGACGTGATAAACAATCTATATTTTATTTGATCAGGTCACAGACATTCTTTTTTAATAATTGAACTACTAATATTAATAATTTATTACTTATAGATTAAAGTTACACCAAGTTCCATCAATATATCTTTGACAATATGAAATGAGAAATCATATTTCTAATTTTAGTTACATTTATCAGCTACATTACTAATGAAATCTTGAAGATTATCTTTGTCACTGGAAATTTGATTTTTCTTGCCCCTACTTACAAAATATGGATCCATTTGTAATTGAGCTGCCAGTTTCTTCAATATAGTACGCCTGTCTCGATCGTTATCATCAATTTCCCTTTTAACTTTGCCCTTATCGTTTTTAATCATTATCAAGTCAATCGCCGCGCAAATTAGTTCTTTAGCTTTAGTATATTCATCTTTGTGGAGTGTCGTTCCGTTTTTTGAGGGGTTTAAATCTTTTTTGCCTCTAGCAATATAATATGGATCGTTGCGAACAGATTTAACAATTTCTTCAATAGCACCTCGCCTGTCTCTTGCAGCTTGCTCCAAATTATAATTAATATAATATTTTTTACCTCTCGATATGTAATATGGATCGTCAGCTTCAGCTGAAGATCGTCCAGTCCTTTCAACTAAAATATAATTTGGCTCGTCAACATACATTCGATTGTCTAAAACCGTTCCTGGTTCCTTACTTTGACCACGAAGTCTAGCAGCTTTAGGTAGATTACCGCTGTTTCTCAAAGGTCCATTAAATAACATTGAAAGCTTATTTTCTCTACCCCTCCCAGTCCAAAATGAATTAGGGTCAGCATTACTCTTCTTGAGTCGTGAGAGATTTTCAATATCTTCTTCGACGTCATTTATTGCATTTAAGATTGATTCTTTTAAATCTTGCTTGCGAACCCAGGTTGGTTCTGAAGTCTTTCGTCTTCCGCGATTACCCCAAAATGGTTCCTCCTCTCTTCTTCCTCGATTTCCCCAAAATGGTTCATCTATCTCTCGCCTGCCTCTATTACCCCAAAAAGGCTCTTCGATCTCCCGCCTGCCTCCATTACCCCAAAAAGGATCGTCTGTCTCTCTCCTTCCTCTATTTCCCCAAAATGGTTCGTCTATCTCCCTCCTACCACGATTACCCCAGAACGGTTCAATTTCATCACGTCGACCACGATTCCCCCAAAACGGCTCTTCTTCACGTCTTCCTCTATTGCCCCAAAACGGTTCATTTTCCGTCCTTCGACCTCGGTTACCCCAAAATGGCTCTTGATCTTGACGTCTGCCCCTGCTGCCCCAAAAAAGATCTTCTTCGGATCCTTCAGATTCTAAAGAATTGCGACGACCACGGTTTCCCCAGAATGGTGATACGAAATCTTCTCTTCTGTCTTTTATATTACCGTAGTAGTCGTTTGGCTTTTGAGCAAATTCTGTACAGTGTTCGCAGTGTTTAACAAAATAATCAGGAAAGTCGACAGTATAGCCATATAAATTCTCCATTGAGCTGTCTCTTCGACCTCTATTTCCCCAAAACGGCTGTTCCTTCATAACTTGGTCATTAGATTTGGCAAACTTTTGATTTGATCCAAAATCACTGTCGTATTTACTGTTATAGTTATTAGGGTCATTACCTATTATTTGTTTTTTGCCCCTATTAGGCCAGAATGGTCGATCATCGTCATCATTTAGAGATCTCTTGAAACGTTCGCTTTCTGACTTGTCTTTCAAAGAATTTAGTTTCTTATGATAGTTTTTATAAGTTTTAGTTTTGTTTTCTTTGCCAAGAACGACGTCGGTTGTTATTATCAAGATGAACAGGAGAAACGTTTGTACTTTTCTGCGCATTTTGTTAAAATCTGTCAACAAAGAAAGACGTTTTCTAAGACACACTAAAATTAAATCAGATGGATATTTATTAAGCAGTATCAGATAAATTCTACCTAATTGATTTGACGAATCGTAAGCACAATGGTTCTTATTAAATTCAAGTGGAAATGTTGGATTTGTTACAAGATGATTAAATGCGCAGTTGATTCAACCTAAATCAGGTCGATGGAATGATAATTTTAATATCGAGGGTAATGTTAAACCATATGCTTCATCATGCGAGATCCTACGAAATCCAGATTACCTATCAAATATCCTATCTGACGATGATATTGTCATACTCTCAGTTGGTAAACACGATAAAAATCCTTACATGTTGCTAACTAATCTGTGTAGTACTCTGTGTAGTTTGAGCAATTGTACAATATTAATGTTAAATGTTTCAGAGAATAGGTATCTTAATGTCAAGAAACTTAATCACGAACTAAAATTGTTTACAAAAAACTTCAAGAATTGTAGATTTATTGAGGTTAACGAGTTGGATGTAAACTATTACAAAAAGCTTTCGGAATTAGAGTTAATTACCTATAAACTGAATATAGAAATTGATTATTTGCACTATAAGAGTAGTGGTCCAGGTCCAAAATTGAGTTTAAGTAAACGAAATTTCATTCATGATGCCAATAACGACAGTAATTTTTTTCGTTCCAAATTGTACCACTGATAAAAATGGAGTTAGTATTGACAAATTAAAACATAATTGCGGAAACAGTAAATTACGAATCCTACACCAAAATATAGCTGGCATCTGCAACAAATTAGATATGTTGGAAGTAACTCTATCTGAATTAGTGGAAAAAAATTTGGAGGTGGATATATTATGTTTTAGTGAAACTTTTCTGAAACAAGGCACGGAAACTAATATTAAACTTAATAATTTTAAATTAGCTGCAGCATTTAGCCGCGATAAATGTAGAGGGGGCACTTGTGTTCTGACGAATAAGGTATTTGACACTAAAGCATTAAATTTTCCTGCAAATCTAGCTACAACATTTTATTTTGAGTGCTGTGGCGTAGAGGTTACTGGCTTAAACCTAATAGTCGTTACCATATATAGAATACCCGATCAGAGAAAGGCACAAATAGGTACTTTTCTGCATAAACTTGACATTTTGTTAAATTACTTGACAGACCAGTATAGGAGGAAAAAAATTGTAATTTGTGGCGATTGGAATATCGATATATTAAAGCAGAACCCTGCATCAAAAGAGCTTGTAAGCATACTTACTAATTATAACTTTGAAGCTCACATAAAATCACCTACGCGGGCGGATTCTTGCATTGACCAAATTGCCAGTAACATAAAAAATGTTCAGTCAGACGTTTATCACATAGGATTGTCAGATCACGAAACGGCACAAACGGTAACCATAAAAGCTAGAAAACAGAAAAAAATATCGTATTGGTCAGAATTAAAACGTGACTATTGTTCGGAAAACCTGAAAAAATTTGTTGAGTGTATATCTTGTCTTTCTTTTTCGGAAACTTTTAACTGTAATACTCTAACAGAAGCGTTTAATTTATTTTATGAAACTTTTACAATGTTTTACAATTTGTGCTTTCCGACCATTAAAGTCAAAGTCAATAATAAACCAATCGCGATAAACTGGATAACGAAAGGCATTAAAAAATCGAGTAAAATGAAACGTCAGCTATACCTAAAATTTAAACGGAATAAAACAAATAAAAAACAAAACGAGAACAACTACAAACTCTATACTAATGTATTCAAACGATGTACACAAACAGCACAGAAACTTATAAACACAAGACGTATACAAAAGCATAAAAATAAATGTAAAGCTACTTGGAACGCAATCTCCTCAACAATTTCTAATAATGACATGTATAAAAATGATATTGACGAAATAAATTTGAATAATGTGACTTATAATAATCCACATGACATTTGTAATATATTTAATGACTATTTTATTAATTTAACATCTAATCAGACATCTAATAATAACATTAATATACATAAAAATAATAAAAGTCCTAATGCTATTTTCCTGAGTCCTGTAGATGCACATGAAGTGTATAAAATCATAATGTCTTTAAATAATAGCAAAGCTTGTGGATACGACGGTGTTGTAACGCAAGTTTTAAAGGCTTGTGCCAGTTGGATATGTCACCCGTTAGCACATATTATAAACTTATCTTTTGAGGAAGGTACATTCCCAGATCAACTTAAATTGTCTATCGTGAAACCATTATTTAAAAAGGGAAATAAGTCAGATCCTAATAACTATCGGCCGATCACAATAGTACCCATCACGTCCAAAATTTTTGAAAAAGCAATGCTGACCAGATTTAATCATTTTCTCAGTAAAAATAACATATTATGCAAAGAACAATTAGGTTTTCGTAAAGGTAGTTCAACTGCTCTTGCAATCTTCAACTTAATTAAAATTGTCACAGAAAGTATTAATAATGGCAGTCCAGTTGTATCTCTTTTTTTAGATATGAGCAAAGCCTTTGATTTTGTAAATCATTCGAAACTTTTAAATAAATTAGAATTTTATGGCATTAGGGGTAAAGCATATGAATGGATATCTAGTTATCTAAGAGATAGAAATCAGTGTACAGAAATTTCTAAAGTCATAAAGAAAAATGATAAATCATATTCCAAGGAAAAGTTTACATCTATTTCAAAACCAACTAATTGTGGTGTGCCTCAGGGTAGCATTCTCGGCCCTTTGCTTTTCTTACTTTATGTTAATGATCTTCCAGAGGCTAGTTTACAAAAATGCATCCTTTTCGCAGATGATACTACACTTGTTATAAAATATGATGATAAAAATGATTACAAATCAGTTATCAACAAGACCTTATCAGATATCATAAGCTGGATGGAAGATAATAATTTAAGTATTAACATAAGTAAAACAAAATTAATTCAATTTAACTCTTATAATTCCAAACAATTGGCTTTAGATATTATTTGTAAAAAAGAAAAAGTAGAACAAGTAAATGAACTAAACTTTTTAGGAGTCATTGTAGACAACCATCTTAACTGGAAGAGTCATGTGGAACATATTTGTCAGAAACTGGATAGGTTTGTGTTTGCTTTAAAAAAATTAAGACAAAATGTTTCATTAGAAGCTGCTTTGTCGGCTTACCATGGTTATGTGTCATCTGTACTAAACTATGGAGTAATAATGTGGGGCAACTCGACTGATGCCGATAGAGTTTTTAAACTTCAAAAACGGTGCATCCGAGTTATTAACAAGGCGTGGTTCTTAGACAGTTGTAAACCTTTATTTCAAAAATATAAAATTCTTCCACTGCCTTGTATATATATAAAAGATATCTGCATTTTTACGAAGAAACACATGCATTATTTCAAGTACCGCAGTGAGGTTATGTCAAGGCAAAAAAGGGCTAAATTTAATAACCTACTGTATCAACCGCCTGTTCATAAAGATATCTATAAGAAAAATGTGTGTAATATGTGTATTTGGATTTATAATAACCTCCCAAATGAACTGAAATTGTTACATGGTAATCTATTTAAAATACAATTGACACAGTGGTTACAAAAAAACTGTTTTTATAGTATTAAGGAATTTATAGAATTCGGAAATAAACGTAGCTTTAATTAGTAAAATTATGTGGACGATAAAATTGTATAAAATAATTATATTAAGTGGATTTTTTTTATTAGATTCTTACATTAATCGAATTTATTAATATTGTATAATTATGATAATAACAAATTAATTGCATGACATAGATAATTTAATGACATAATTATAAATAATTTGCACGCTTGCTTGCAGGCTGAATGCAGTGACTTTTAGGATATAAGACCTTTCCTTATTAAACAATGTAATTCTTGCAAATAAACACTTTTGAATTTGAATTTTGAATTTGAATTTGAATGGATTTTAGATCAGTTCGGTGTACTATGGTCGCAAAAGGTTCTTGCTATAAAACTGCAGTTAATTCTTTGACCACCATGGTCAGCTTTTCAGCTATAGCTGACAAACAAAATAATATATTAAACATAATTATGACGTTTTCTAGTCGGCTATGCTCAATATTAGGCCAATAGTCTATTTTTCGTTTGTCGTCTATAACCGACCATGTTAAAAACTAAATGCTAACTAATTACAAGAATTATGTATTACAAAACCAAAATACACTGAGATACAAAGAATTATAAAAAAAATTAAAGAAATAAAAAAGAAATGTCGTGGTGGACCGAAGGTTAAGGCGCCTGTTTCTCTCTATACTTTCTAAGGTTATTTAGACACTATGGACATAGGGTGAAGGAAAATATTGAGAAGAAACCTGGACATATAATTTAAGTTAAGTTTTCTAAACATATAAGTTTGAAATCGCCAATAGACATTGAGAACGCACGGTGATTAATGCTCAAACCTTCTCTCCGTGGGAAAAGTGGCTTTTTTCAATCTTTCTCAAACGGGAGTATTAACTACTTAATTCAAAATGGTAAATAATATGGACGTTTAGTTATGAAATGATAAATGAATCGAACGATAATTTTTTTTTAATAAAATCTGTAATGTCAAAAGTTAAGTCTTCAACACAAATTGATCAAAAAAAATCGAAAAAGGTCACTCACATGAATTTTTCGGTTAATCCTAAGACCATGTTTCCACAGCCGAGCTATGAGGGATCGTAGTGACTTCAGGGTTGCTACCTCGTTTCTGAACCATGGAAGCTTTGGTCTGCTTTTATAAAGGGAAAGCGAGTAGGCGAGGTCTCTAGGGGTGCCACATGTAATTTTTTCGTTTGTCCTCTTCAATTCTACCGGGAGTGTGTGACGGTTATTAAATTAAAACAATGCTAGTTGCGTATTGCTCTGGACTTCTGTTAAGAGGTCAGATTTAAGGGGAAGTTTTTTGTTAAGTGACTTTATTTATTTCTAATACAGAGTCTAGTATAGTAAATGATCGTAAAACCGAGCACAAATTTTTATGTTCGTATGA